CTCCCTCCCTCCCTCCCTCCCTCCCTCCCCACTCCTGCTGTTCTGTGGCAGATATCCCTCTCCAGGCACCAGGCTCTGGCTGCAGGCTGTTGTAATTTGGGTTTGAGGAACATGCAGGAGAGAGGCACAATCTGCAAATCAAACCCATTGCCTTTGTCTGCTGGAAGATGAGAGGGGATGGGATTGATGGGAATTTCAGATTCACTAGCACTGCCACCTTCTCTTATGCCCTTATGCCACTAGATGAGGCACACCCAGGGCCAGGAATTCCTCACTTGCTTTCCAATCCCAATTTACAGCTTCATCCAGAGGCTCTGTGTGCCCCATTCCATGTCCACTCCCAGGCAGGGAAGCAGCCAGACACATCCCAGTTCCCTGCTTCGTCCCTTACACATTTAATGGGAATACCTTTCATGAGCTCCTCCAGCTTCAGTGGAGCCATGGGGGCTCATCCAGAGGAAAAAACATGTTGGTCCATGGGCTTTATTTTTTTTTAATTTGGAGCTGATTTTTCTCTTTTGCTGCAGGGAAAGTGTGGACAGGCAAGAAAGGGGAGCAGAGGATGCAGCACTGTTTATTTGCTATATATCCATGTGGGCAAAGCAGAGCCCAAGAGGGGAATTAAGCAGTGGATAAACAGGACAGACAAAGCTGGAGTTGCTCATGGTTCAGAGTTCCTTCAGTTCTTGCTGCAATGAAGGCTGAAAGTTCTCACATATCATATCCCACCAGATTTCCCAGCAGTTTGTCTCCTAAACCAGGCTTTTATTCTCCTTTTTTTTTTCACTTTTCCTTAAATGCACGTGAAAAGCATTGCACATCCCAAATTGTCCTGATGACTTCTTGTGCAGTGGTGGTGAGAGGGAGTGAGTGTGCAGACTCAGCCTCCAGCTCTGGGAATCCATAGCTGTTTCAGAGAAATCCCGTGGGGAAATGCACTAAACTCTGCCAATTTCTCTCACTCTAAGTGGCTGCAGTGGGAAAGTGGAATTTTGCAAACAATTCACCATTTCGTGAAGACCTGGGAAACGCTTTTTCCAGGTCTGGAGAAATTGTTTTGTGCAGCATATCCTGACTGCTCCTGCCAGATGCACCAAGCTGAGGGCACAGGCTGCTGCCAATCCACACAGAAACTGGAGCCTCCAGGGGGAGGCTTCCAGGGTCTCAAAATAGCCACTTATCCAACACAGTTGGATTAGCTGTCTCACCCTGCTCTCCAGCTCCTAAGCCTGAAGCCATGAAAAAAAACCAACAACCCTAAAATTCACTAAATGAAGAAAGCAAATAAAACTCCTCCTGCTGCTCCAGAGGATCCCTCAACCACCCCCTCCACATTCACTACCATTTCCCACTGGCCTTCCTGAGCAGACACATCCTCCCACTCCCCATCCTCTCCCAGACATGCTCCTCATGCTCCAAAGAAGTTAAGCCATCCTGCTACTGGAAAGGATCCCTAGAAAGGACCAGAAAGGAATCACCGATCTACTGGGGTCCCACCACAGTGCCCCTCCCTCCCTCCCTCCCTCCCTCCATGCCTGCCTGCCTTCCAACTCTGCCTCAGCTGAACGTGGCCAAGGGGAGAAGAGGGTGCAGGAGTGAACTCCTGTTAATCCATGGCTTTTACTCCCTGTAATGAATCCAGTGGTTGCATTTAGTGCCAGACTGAGAAGAAAATGCACCTCCCTCCCTCCTTCTCTTTCCTGGATAAACATGGACATCTTGGGAGCCTTGCCTGAGAAGGACAATGATTTATACCTGATGCTAAAACCAGTGGTTAGTCCCACCACCACCACCACCACCTCCAACGCCCTTTTCCAGGGGCACCTTTCAAATCCACCCAGGTTCCTCCCAGGCCTTCCAAGCAGCAGGCAAAAAGCTGCATTATGAAAAGCTTTGCAATTGTAACTGCATCGATGCCAGGGTCAGAGTGAAGGAAAAGAAAGAAAAAAAGAAAAAAAAGTGTAATTCACGCTTAGCTCACTCCATAAAACTTCTCCCTGCCTGGATCTAAGCCATCGGCTTGGATTTGTAGTGAACTCTCAAGTGAAGTTGCCCTAGTGATAAATGCATCTGTGGGGAAAGAGGTGGGGGAGGGAAATCCCTCATCCCTCTGTTTTTAGCACAGCCCGACGTTTTCCTGGGGAATTGGTGGAGTTCCTCAAGTGGACGTGAAGGCATGCATTAACAACAGAAAACTGGAATGAGAGATGGGAGGAGAGCTGAATTCCAGCATCCAGGATGTCATTAGGACCGGGATGCACGAAGATGACAACAGAAAGGTTGCTTGGAGTCCAGGAAGTTAATTCTGCTGCAAACGAGCCTAAGAACCTCTGTCCTGAGGGAAAACAGGCAGCACTGATGCATCAGCCAGCTGAATTTTAACCTTCCATCAGCTGTCCAGCACTTCTCCTTCAATCCTGACCGGGAGAAAGCGGAGGGTGTGGAGTGGAGATTATACTGCAACACCACAGAAAGGCAGGGACTAGAAAATCCCACCCATCATCATCATCCATCATCATCATGATGAGACAGAGCTGAACAGTAACCCCGCTGATCCCAAAGAAACTGGGATAATCCATCCTGGCAGTGAGGGGAAAGGGACAAAAACTGAGCAGAGAACCACCAGGATTAACACCATTAAGGAAAAACGGCCCAAAAAAAGAGAGTATTCCCTACTGGTTGTGCCCAGAGGGGTGTGGGTCACACCACCTCTGATTGCTGGAATTTTGTTTGGGATTTTCAGCCTTGCCCAGAGGGTGCCTGTTGGGAAGGAAACAGAGCAGGGCTTGTCCTACACATCCCTTTCATTTTCCCAATTAAATTACGGGGTTCCCTGCTTTTCTCTCATTCTTTTCCCATCATTTATTTCCGTTAAGGGTGTGGAAGGCTCTGGAAATCCTTGTGCACTGTGCTGGAGGAATCCCTCGGGAGCGTGAAGAACCCAAATCCATCAGCCCAGTGTCTCCATGTCTCCATCAGGATCCAGCCACAGGTTCCCAGCTCATGGATCAAGCATAGTTGCAGATATTTTTTTTCTGCAGGGCCATAATCATCATCAAAAAGTTTGAGGCAGGGAAGGAAGACACCGATGGAGTTTTTATCACCATTTTCCAGGAGAAACAGCTATCCTTTGATGGCAGATGTGGGAATATCACAGGAGAAGCAGGCGCCTCCTTTGCCTCAGTCCACAAAGGAAACACCTCCTTACAGGCAGGTTAGAAAATACCAGAAAATCTGCTGAGGACAAGTTTCCATCCCCAGCAAAGGGCTGCCCAGGAATGAGTCACTCAGGAACATTTCAGCCCAGCTCCCACCAGGGGATTTGCAGACAAAAGGGATCTATTTATATTTTTAGCTGGTTTTTTTTCCCCCTCTTCAAAAAATATTCAGATTTTTTTGGGAAAATAAAACTGGAAAGGGTTTCTTTCCCATCCCCCCCCCCCAGTTTTTTTTCCACTTGAACAACTTCTTTCATCACTAGTGTGGAATTGTCAGAAGAAATAGCTCAAGGAAAAGCAAGAGTAGGGGGTGAAAAAAGAGCTGGGGAGGAGAAAAGCTCATTTCCAACATGTGCAGGAGTTGGAGCTTTGTGATCCTTGTGGGTCCTTTCCAGCTCAGTGATCCTGTGATTCCACATCCCTCCCTCTTCCCCTGAGCGTGGCCATTCTCCACTTCATCCCAAACCAGCGTTTCTGACACACAGAGAGGTCACACACTGAGTGTTTCATAGAAATCACTGAACGGTTTGGGTTGGAAGGGACCTTCAAAAATCATCCAGTCCAACCCATCAAACAGTCACTATTTAATAAAATTAGACAACAGTTTGGGCTGGAAAGGACCTTTAAAGATTATCCAGTCCAATCCATGAAGGCATTTCAGGCAGTCCAGATCCGTGCCCAGGGTTGCAGCTCCCAGTGCCTTGGGAGTGAGGTTTTAAATGAGGTCTGCTGCAAAATTTGGTGTGATCAGCACTGAGTAACTCTTCCTTCCTTCCTGCATTAGTGACAAAAGGCTCATCAAGAACCCCACAGCAGCATCTACACCTCCACATTCCCTCAGAGGAGGTGGCTTGGGAGCTGCATCCAGCTAGGAACAGCCATCAGGAGCTCCACGGACATCTATGGAGAGAGCACAAAGGCGACAAATTCTGTCAAAAAGGAGAAAATACAGCAAGCAGGGGACTGTGCAAAAATAGGAGACATAAACAGTTGAATTAAGCCGGCTCTCCAAGCAGCTCCAGCCTAGCAAGTGCTTGACTTTCCCACCTTAACACCGTGCTCTCAGCACACTTTTCCTTTTCCCCCCAAAATGCCCTGAAAACACAGCTGCCCACCCGCCTGCTCCGCAGCTAGAGAATCCCAGCGCCGAGTGCAAGCGCTCAGGGCTGCCCCAGGCACAAGGGTCTCTTTATGGAGCAGCTCCTCAGGCTCACAGGACCTGGAGCAGCCCCAGCGAACCAGCAGAGAAAAATAAACATCCTTCTCTTGGAAGTGCCTCGCACAATTTCATTAAGCCGGGCTGCAGCGGATGTGTATTTATTGAATGGAGCCCTCAGAGAAACAAAAAGGGGGGGAAAGAAGCCCTGGTCTGCTCTGCTGAGGGGGGATTTAATGAAACCCGACAAAACAAGAACCACCTCCGCCCTACTCAAAGCCCAGCGCTAAAAAAAGAACCCCCAAAGTCATTTTTTAGCCACGATTTCCGCGAGCACGCCGCGGGCTCCAAACCCTTCCCTGAGGAAGGAAAGAAAGGTGTCTTTGGGAAGGAGGGGTGCAGGAATTCCAAGCAGGGTTTCAGGCAGCAGCATTCCTGCTTTCCAGCAGGTCCTGGATGCTGGCCCACCTCTGAGGTGGGGTGTGAACACAAAACATTCCCACTGTTGTTTGCTCCGCTCCCATCCTGGCCTGGCTGCCACACGCCAATTAAGAAATTAAAATGAGCCCTCAGCTCCACACATTCCCTCCCAGGGAAAGGGATTTCTCTTTCAAGGTATTCCAGGCCACTTTTCTCTGCTTATGTTGTCTCTTTTTCTTAACTGGAAGTGGCTCCAGGGACGTTACTTAAAATGTTTCAGTTACCAAAACTCAGCTTCCAGTCTTGTTGCTCGGAGAGCTGATGTGGCTGCCCCCGGATCCCTGGAAGTGTTCAAAGCCAGCCTGGACAGGGCTTGGAGCAGCCTGGGATAGTGGAAGGTGCCCCTGACCATGGAATGAGGTGAGCTTTAAGGTCCTTCCAACCCAAATTCCATGATTCTGTGGAAAAAATAACTCTGATGATCCTTTTTACAGCATCTCTCCCACCGGTGATGCAACATTTCTTTTATCAAATGACCCCAAGTTCCTGCTTCTCCGCTCAAAAAGAGATCATGCAGCAGAGATGCATTAGAAGTGTCACCCTGCTGTGCTTGAGAGACACAGAAAATACAGCCAGTCATGCCCGAAGGACATAAAAATATTTTACTTGTGATCAGGACAGCAATACAGAATAAAAATTTTAAGTGCTGCTAGAAAAGTGTGATTTTAGCTTTCAGAATCACAGAATGCTTTATTTCTGCACTCAAAAAAGCTTGCAAAGGGCGGTGAGTAGTTTTACTACACGTGGCTGGGCTGGGGCAGAGGAGCAGAGATAATTATTATGTCTAATTAGGAATCCATACAAACCTATTAAGGTTTTGTTCCTCAAGGAATGAAAGTTAAGCTCTAATACAATGCAGTTCACTCTTACTTATGTTTGTTTAATTAAAAGCTAAACCTAAAGTACGTGGCAAAAAAAAACAAAACAAAAAAACGAACAAAACAATACAAAAGAAACCAACCCAGTCACCATAAAAATTCTGCTTATTGCCAGAATCCAAGGGTATGGAATCTCATTCCCATTGCCTTCATCAGCTCAGGATTTGACAAATCAGATATTATTTAGATTTTTCAGGGCCTTATAATGGCACAGACAAGCCAAAAGCTGGGCACTCCAGCCTCAGCCTCATTAGCATCCATTTTCATAGCCATAAACCAAGAGAACAATGCCTCATTTTCTAATTAATGCAGATTGTCACTAATAGATCCCAACAAAGCTGCTTTTCATTCCTTTCCTCGCTGGTGCATTTGGTGAAGCACTTAAAGGGGGCCAGCCCAGTGCATGCACAGAACTGTTTTAATTACATCCTGTGAATTTATTTTTCCAGGGAGAAATATTTCTCAGGGAAAACGTCTATAAAAGTAACTTTAGAAGCAAAGTAATTTTGTGTGTGTTTCCTATAGGAAATCTGTTTAGTTTAAGTCCCAGGTTCTAACACTCTTTCATGCAGCAGCGTGACCTGGAGAACGCTGCTGACAGCCACAGTAAAATCCTGGTATCTCCTCCTGAAATGAAATTCCTGATGGATTTGGGAGCTGTATCTTGATGGGACCTTCCCTTTAATTGGAATTCCCTCACAGTGGGGGTCACAGACACGCCTCCCCCCCAAAAGGGGCACCTCACCTTCAGGGCTGCTCCAGGTGTGGGTGTTGTGAGTTATTTTTACTGTCATTTCTTTAACCAAGGGCTTGGTTGGAGTCTCCCAGCTCCAAGGAGAAAAACTTTATGTATTTTCCAGTCATCCCAGTTCCCAGGAAATGTATCCTCCAGGATACATTTGCTCAGGTTTCGGTGTTTATTTCTCTCCCTTAGGAAGTGACAAAGCTGGAAACTCTAGCCCACTGCCCCTTTGTCACCCTTAAATTCCTCCTTCCTGGGTTCTGCTCTTGTTCCACCTTCCGACTTCATCCTGATCCCCTGGGAGCTGCATTAGGATCAGCTTCCCTCCCCTGAGGAAAAGGGCCTGGCTTCCAAAGGGAGGCAAAAGCAGCTTTTCCTCTAGATAACAAGGAATTGGACACTCCAGAGTGTCCAGTGTATGCCCTGGCTGGTGAGGGAACACGTGTGACCAAGCTGGCCTTCCCAGGCTGTAGGACTGGAAAATCAGCTTGGCTTCATGCATGGAATCATGGAATTGCTTGGGATGGAAAGGCCCTCTAAGGCCACCGAGTTCAGCCATTTCCCAGCACCACTAACCACGTCTCCAAGTGCCACACCTACACGGCCTTAAAGTCCACGTATGAAAGCCTGTTTCAGGCATAAGGCAAAAAAAACTTAAAGAAAATCCAGGGAATTCAGCAATTCCATCTGCAGAGCAGGGAGGATCAGCTTTGCCAGCTACAAAACCCTGTCCTGGTTCCTTCCTCGTTGTGGTGACGGAATGTTTCCACTTCTCACTCCAGACAGTGCATTAGTGGTACCACAAATGAGTCTGCAAGGACCAGTTTTAATTCAGGCTCCCAATGCCACAAAACTGTGCTGCCACATTTCCAAAATTGCCAAACACACGTGGGAAATGTGAGGCAAGTGCCAATATTGCAGGAGAAACACGGAATCATAGAGGGATTTGGGTGGGAAGGGTTCATCCAGTTCCACTGTTGCCAAGGGCAGGGACACCTGCCACTATCCCAGGTTGCTCCAAGCCTTGTCTAACGTGGCCTTGGACGTTTCCAGGGATCCACAGCTTCTCTGGGCATCTTGTGCCAGGGCCTCAACACCCTCACAGGGGAGAATTCCTTCCTAGTACCTGAAATAAACCCACACCCTTTCAGTTTAAAGCCATTCCCCTTGAAGAAGTTATGGCTACAGGAAGGATCAACTCAGCTGAATAACTCCTAAAACTCTGGGAGAGTAGAAGGTGCTGTGATGAACAGAGGGAGCACAGAACAGCAAGGCTGGCACTTCCTAAACACTTTCCAGTTGGATTGGTCTGAAGGAAAAAGCTGATCTTGGGGCCAAAGGTCTCCAGATGGGTGAGAAGTGCAAGGCTGGAACATCCCATCCTTCTGCAGGAGATTCACACCAACCCCACAGGGGACACCTCAGGTTTGTGCTTTTAACCAGCTCCTCCTGCAGACAGTGAAACCATTCAGTGCCTAATGTGAGGAGAAATCACAGAAATCCTTGGGATACGCAGCAGGCTGTGGCTCTCCCCCTTGGCTGAGGCCTTCTTTGAAGGCTTCCATGCACCAAAGGGTTCAAACACCATTTTTCCCATGGCTGATACTTCCCTGCTGGGTCTCCTGGCAAGGCAAGGACACACAGCTGCTCTGTGCCAGGGGCATTGGAGGGGTCCAGGTTTTATGTCCCATCTCCCAGGCTTGTCCCTGGGTAAGAACCACCCCGTGAGAGCGCAGGGATTTAGGCCATTTCCTCCATCCTTCTCTCCAGGGGTTTTAATTAGCATTGCCACTGCACTCCTTAATTTGAGCACACTCCTGGCTTCCAGTTTAAGCCCCTCGCTCATTTCCCCCACCCCATTCTGATCCCTTTAAGACCCAGCTGTAAAACGCCGCAGACCTTGTGTCGTAACACTTCATAATCACACTTACACTGGAGTAACCTGACAGAAATCAGCTCCTTCCTGGTGATCCAGGGGGATTGGGAGCAGCATCTCATTCCTTGCTGAGCCCCAGCAGGGCTGCTGGATGCTTCCCACTGCAGGTTTTCTTGGCAGGGCTCTGTGGCAACCACTGGGATGAGCTGAGGCACCTTGTGGAGGGTCCTGCATTTCTGTGGACAGGGGTAAGACAGAAGGGGAAAAACAAGATTCCTCCTTTTGTGTCGTGAACACCCAGGAAAGTGATCTGTGTGTGAAGGGAAGCAGGAGAATGATCTGTGTGTGAAGGTAAAAGTCTTCCAGGGCAGAAAATGGAGTCACGAGTCCTTTGGAGCACAAACACATGTGGGCATGTTCATCCACCAAAAATGGCCTTTCACTCACAGGTCATGAAATCTTGGAATGGTTTGGGTTAGCAGGGATCATAAAGCCCATCCCATCCCACCCCCTGCAATTCCAGGGACACCTTCCACTGTCCCAGGGTGCTCTGAGCCCCAGTGTCCAGCCTGGCTTTTGACACTTCCAGGGGTCCAGGGGCAGCCCCAGCTGCTCAGGGCACCCTGTGCCAGGGCCTGCCCACCCTCCCAGGGAAAGATTCCTTCCCAAAATCCAACCTAAACCTCATCTCTTCCAGTTGAAAGCCATTCCCCCTTGTCCTCTCACCGATCCTTCCCTTCCTCCACCCTCCAACGTGCTGCAGCCCTGTCCTTACACATTTTTCCTCCTGGCTGCACTTTTCAGGCCCTGATCCAACCCTCTGAGGAGCTTCCCATCGACTCGAGCAGGTCTTGGAATCAGGTGCCTCCAGTGAAGCCTGTCCCAGCCAGATCCCACCACGGGGGTGTCATTTGGGAGCCTCAGTTTTAAGCCCAGGCTTGGCTCCCTCGCTGACCTCTCCACAAACCTCTCCTCGCTTTCCTTGGCTTCTCCCGCGGCTCCGCAGCCGCCTGTGGGTTCGGTGGTGGCTCAGGTTACTCGCTGATGGCCTGTTCTCCTGCCTCTGCCTTTCAGGAAGGCTTCACTCCAGGATTTATAGCAGGTTCTTGGTAGCACCCTCTGTACTTCAATCTGCGAAACCATTTCGGTTTAACCACCTGTTTTCACACGCTCATAATTTCACAAAGCATCCACCTTTTTGGGATAAAATTTTCCATGCTTCAGCTCTTGCCCGAGGTGCTAGTTTGTTGGGTTGTTGGGGTTTTTTTGTTTTTTTTTTTGTTGTTGTTTTTTTTTACTTTAAATATAATTCCAAAAGAAAATGTAAGTTTGATCCAAATCCATTCCACATTTCTGCGCTTGGCCCCAGGCAAGAAACTTTCCCTATTAAAAAATCTAAAAAAATAAAGAAAAAAATAAATAATTCTAACCTCACTTCTTGTTGTGGAACTCAAAAGAAAGAAATTCTGCTCAGGAGCTGCTACAAACACTGTAGGAAAAAGACTGGAGCCTAGCCATGGTCTGAAAACCCTGATCCACCCCTAAGACTCGAAAACAAGGTGCTTCTCCTTGCCTTGCTGTCAGGCCGTGGGTGGTACAGAGCCTGTGGTTCCTCTGGCACAGCCGTGGCCAGGCTCTGCCCCAGCCTCTCCTGGAGCCAGTGGGAGACTTTCCATAAAAATAGATTTTTTTTTTAATCATGCTGGCAAGTCCATCATTAATTAAGGGTGGGCTCAGAGTGCCCCGAGGTCAGGAGGAGCTTGCCAGTGGCATCAGCCACTGGGCAGGTTCAAGGGGTCTGGGGGAAAAGCTGGCAGGTTTTCCTTGGATTTTTCACTCCCTGCTCTTCAGGGCACTTTGAGAAATGGAACACAGAGAAATAATAGTGGGCTGTGAGATCAAGCAGTGAAAGCAATCAGGAAATGTGTTTTAAAAGCTTTCCATTGCTCCAGAAATAATGTCTCAGCTTCCCTGAGCCGTTGGTGTTCTCCCTGGTGCTGACAAACACATCGCTTGTCCTCTTTGAGTCTGTCCTCATTCCTGTCACCAGAGCACGCTGTCCCAGGCTCTGCCTGCCCCCAACAGCATTTTCCTCCTCCTGCCCTGGAGACTTGTCCCACTAATTGCCTCCATGGATTAATTCCCAGTGGCACAAGCCTTCACTCTGAGCTCCAGTTTGGAAATCCATAACCTGGAAGTGTCCAAGGCCACGTTGGACAGGGCTTGGAAGCAGCCTGGGACAGTGGAAGGTGTCCCTGCCCACGGCAGAGGTGGGACTGGATGAGCTTTGAGGTCCCTTCCAACCCCAGCCAGTCTGGGATTCTGTGATTCTTGGAGTGCAGAGACACGGCTCAGCCCAGGCTGGATATTTTTCCCAATATCCAATCAAAAGGAGTGGGAGCTGACCACATATAAACACATGTCCAGGTTGATTAATCCCTGCTGGGAGCACTGGGAGCACTGTGAAGGTCACCTAGGACAGGTCCACACTTTACTATTTGATTTAACAAAGGGCAGTTTGCACTTGCACAAAATAAAGACACATTTTCTGGCCAGGTGCTGGGAATAAGCTGGAAGTGAAACCCAGTGGGCATCAGACACTTCACACAAATCCCTGGCAAATTTCAGGGTTAATTTTGGCACCAAAACCTTCCCTTGATAACCCAACACGTCCCAAAAAGTGCAACAGAACCTCCTGCCCACCAGCTCCTTTCCTGCAGGCCCTGCATAGCCATCACTCCATGGATTTGGGAAGGGCTTCCTGCCTTCTGGAGCAGCTCCAAGCACACTTTTCTCCCCTGGGGAGCCATCCCACAGTGGCTCCCCACAAAGCCCAGCCTGATGCTGAGGGCAGCAGTGGAAGCTCCCGCACATTCCCCGCCTCTGGAAGCAGCTGGATGCCTTGGGGTGGTCCCGTGCTCCTGGAGCTCTGGGCAGTCACACACAGAGAGCAAACACAGCCCCTGACACCTGAGAAAGTGACATTTGAACAAAATCCCACCTTCTCAGCGCGTTCCCACACGGCTCCCGGTGGCTCCACCAGCAGGTTTGGAGCCAGCACAATGGAACAGTATTTGGGTGTGAGAGACCTGGGGCTCCCACCTTGCTCCAAAGACAAGGATCCCATTAATGGGAGCTCCCAGTTCCCAGCCCAGCGGGATTAAACATAAAACCAGCCCTTTCTTGACACTTCACTGGAATGCCGGGAGCTCGGGAGCACTGAAACTGGAGGAGAACACCTTCCCTTCCTGCCAGGTTACCTGAGCAGCACAAAGCTATGGTGGGTGGCCTGGAATTCCTCCTGGCTGCAGGGCTGGTCCCCTGCAGGAATGCTGAGACCATCTCTTGCTCTCCTCTCCTCGTCCTGTGCGTGGGGACAGGCGCGGTTTTCACACAGAAAACCCGACACTGTTGGAAACTCTCCACTGGCTCTTCTGCTCAGCAGCTTCCCCCCATCCAGGCTGCTCAGGATCATGGTTGGATGGGGTTTGGAGCGACGTGGTCCAGTGGAAGGTGTCCCTGCCCATGGCACAGGATTAACTTTAAGGTCCTTCCCAACCTGAACTATTCTGGGATTCTGTGCTCACTTTAAATCCAGGTCTCTTGGAGCACCCTCCAGAACTGATGTCCCTTTGCTCTCCTGTCAGGACATTGGTGTTTGGACCCGAACTTGAGACTTTTATTCAGCTACCTCCCTGCCAGGAGCAACAAGAAGTGGGAGAAAAGCTCTTAGTGAGACCAGAATAGATAAACCTTCCTGTGCATGGAGCTGCACATCCCACCAAGGGCTCTGCATCTTTATCCAACCTAAATAATGCCATCCCTCCTTGCAGGTGTCTCCTCCACAGGGAAGAAAACCCCACACCAGAGCAAGGAGATGCACAAAGGAACCTCTGGCCCCGTGGGAAGCTTGTGCTGCAGCAGTTCCTGGCACGACAAGTGGCCCCATGGAGAGAGGAGCCCACACCAGTCAGTTCCTGAAGGACTGACCCCATGGATAAAGGGACCCACACTGGAGCAGGGAAGAGAGGAGGAGGAGGAGCAGCAGCACAGCCCAATAGCGATGAGTTGACCACAGTTCCCATTCCCTGTCCCTCTGTGCCATTGGAGGGGAAAACAGAGTGAAGTTGAGGCTGGGAAGAAGGGAAGGGTGTGCAGAAAGTATTTTTAAGGTTCAGGTTTATTTCTTGCCCTACTCTGATGGGACTGATAATAAATAAATCCAATTTCCCTAAGTGGAGTCTGTTTTGCCCATGACAGTGATTGGCGAGTGGTGTCTCCCAGCCCTTATCCCAGGCCCTGGGCCTTTCCTTGCATTTTTTTTCCCTGTCTGGTTGAGGAGGGGAATGATCAAGCAGCTTTGGCAGGCACCTGGAATTCTGGGCAGCCAGGGTTAACCCACCACGATGGTCAGGGGAGTAACTCGGGTATTGTGGAGAGGAGCATCTCCTGCTCTTTCTCTGCCCAAGGCCACCTCTCCAGTTAAAACAAAATAAAGTGAAATAAAGTCAAACAGCATTGTGCAGTTAGGGGCTGTTTGTCTGCCTTTAGCAGGATGTGAGGAGACAAAGCTGCTGGCACAGGGTGGCCAGAGAAGCTGTGGCTGTTCCTGGATCCATGGATCCATGGATCTCTGGAAGTGTTCCAGGCCAGGTTGGACAGGGCTCGGAGCAACCTGGGATAGTGGAAGGTGTCCCTGCCCATGGCAGGAGGTTGAATGGGATGATCTCTAAGGTCCCTTCCAGCCCAGATCCCTCTGGGACTCCATGGAAGCCAGGTCTCTGTGTTCTGGCCATCGGTGCCACTCGTGGTCGTTACCGTCCCCTCCTGAGCTCCAGCCCCTGATGCTGACCCAGGCCCCACCTCGGGCTCACTCCAATTTCCAGCCCTGTAACGTGCACTGGAAGTTCTGCTGAGCTTATTTGAATTGGACAGGAAAACTTCCTTTCTCCCTCCCAGGGTTAAAGCCAGAGCAGCTTGGAACCTCCAGCCTGGAGCAACTGCTGCTTATCCAAACAGCTTCTTCTTCCCAGACGTGGATCCCCAGCTCCTCCCAAGCTCAGCCAACACTTGGGCTCCAGCAGCAGCAGATGCTGCTCCAAAAAGCAGAGAAAATCTGAAAGCACAGGAGAAATGAAGCACCTCTTGCCACCGAGCTAATCCTAGGGAACGCTGCTGGCACAGAAGCAATCCCTGTGGCTGGGCTGCCAGCCCAGGAATGAGGAGACATGGGCAGCTCCCACCCCACCTCCCATCCCCTTCCTTCTGGACCTGCTCTGTCCCCTATTTGCTATCAGAGCTCTCTGTTGGACCTTGAGGTTTGTCCAGGAGGGTGGGATAGAGGTGGGATGCTGGAGTTTTGTCCTGGATGTCTCTTCTTCAGAGAGGGGACAGGTCCTGTTATGTCCTGGCCATGCAGGATCTGCTGTCCTTCCCAGAGAAAGGAAATTCCTTCTGTGTCCGTATTTGGGCTGGATCTGTTACTTCAGGCACTTTAATAGTTTCTCCTTTTCCTTCTCTGCCTGATGCTGCACAGGGCAGAGTAAGTCCATTGCCTTCTGCCTGATGCTCCTCACCAGACAAAAAATGCCAAAAGGGGAAAGAAAAGAGCTGGAAGGGCAAAGCCCACCTTGCACATTGCCCCCAGACCTGAACACACCCAGCCAGGAGCCTCAGGGACCCAGCCAGCACCTGAGCACACCAGCGACCTCCAAAAACCAGTCAAACCCATCCACTCTCTGCCCATTCCTGGGCACACAACAAAGCCCAGCCTGTGGGAGCCAGCAGGGCATAAAACAAGGCCAACCCGAGCAACCTCTGCCTCACAAGTCGTAAATCTGGGGCTGGGGGGGGCAGAATT